ATTCTGCCCGAAGTCAATTTATTTATGGTGTTAAAATATATCACGGATCCCGTGAACAAATGGGGTTCCTAACTCCCCAATGAAGTAGAGACCTTTTTAGTGCTATGAACATATCGGTAGCTAAATTTATCGACCACAAATAAAACAATAAGAAATGCATTCCGAATTTATAAATTTTATTATTGCCAAAATTAACAAAACATAATTTAAACAATACTCGTACATAAAAAGTAAACGTAACATAGTTATAACAATGGGTATTTTATGGTCTCAAACTGTACTTGTAAATATATTTTTTTGAAGAAGTTTTTTGACTCTTATCTGAGATTGAGAAATGAATTAGAGACAATTGGAAAATGTTTTTTTATTCATGCGTATCAACTTAGTTTTAAACTAAGTAGTATGAGAATAGCAAAATAGTACAGTAAAATTAATTCCATTATAAAGTATTCATGGTCGCGTGAGGCGGGTCGTTACGTTCCCTAAAATATGGTTGAGCGAAGCGATGGCTGGTTCATGCGTCATGCTCGTGAACGGGTGCTGCCAGCGGAGATGAGTCTGCCCTAACTACTTTGATATTAATATGTAAATGTTTAATTACACCTATTATAAATAACTCTATTTGTATTTATTCTTTGTGACGCAGCAATCAAAATGCAGGTGAACAATTAATGTATAATTTCACATTATGTAATGAAAGGTGACTTTATAAATCATCTCTGAAGTCATTTTTCAACTTGACGACTCTGTAAATGATATAACAGGGAGAAAAAAACAGCCCTTGCTGAGTTTCTTGCCGGTTCTTCTCAGTACAAGGTCTCACGCCGTAGATTTGCGAACCGATCGCGTAGCTTTTCGACATTCAAAAATGCTTATAACAGCATACACTGAACAAACGATATTGAATTTAATTTTTTTGATTTTTTTAATATCTAAACAATAGAAAAATTACACAGCGCACGGTATTAAAAAAAGTACTTTCTAAAATAATAATTATTTAGATCTCGCATTTGAAATTCGGATATCAAATTCTTGAATCCATCGACGATACATATTGTTGCCGTCTCTTTGACGGAGAAAAATATCGTAATATCTTGCTGGGCGTACAGTTTTAATGAAATCGCTTTGAGTTTGGCAGAGGTATTCTTTAAGCGAAAACAAACATCCTTGATTACAACATTGTTCGTGTTTACTTATTTTCATAACAACACTATGATCCACTTGTGCAAGTTCTTAATCTCTTATCTATTAGACAAGTCCGTCCGTCCGTCCTTCCGTCCGTGGTGCTGTTTCAGCGGCCAAACCGTAAGAGATAGATATAGAGAATGTTTAAGTTATAAGTTAAGAATAGTCTGATAAGACTACAAACCGGATGTGAGTAACATAGCACTTCCGGTTTTCGAGAAATCACGTGATTTCTATTTCAAACGAAACCACACAAAATCTCCAAAGTTCTCAATTAATTAAATACATTTTTTTTTTGTGAACATTTGGTTCACTGGTTTGCTAGTTTATATTTAAAACCTGATCAAGTATAAGCCTCATGCCATCTCTATTTTACTAAAAAAAACAATTGAAGAATAAAGATGGAATGATTTACTAAACACGTATAAGCTATGATATATGGTGAATTGTTTACTTATAATTTATCTTGCTTCCAGCAGAATGCTGAAATGCTTGGTAATTTTTGAAGTGAAACTTCTTTATCGGCGTTGGAAAAAAATTTACCGTCACATTTTTCGGTTACGCGTCACATTTTTCCGTTACGCGCCATCTTTTTTTATATTAATAGTTGATAGCTGAATGATCACACTGTCGCCGGCGAGAACTCTCTCTACTCGTTTGTAGCTGAGTGACAATAGTTATTAAAGATAAGACTCGCTCAGCCAAACTCGCATAGCGATACTCGCTCAGCGATACTCGCTCAGCGGTACTCGCTCAGCGATACTAGCTCAGCGGTACTCGCTCAGCTATACTCGCTCGGTTAAGCTGGCTTGGCTGTCAAAAGCCGTGCGCGTGCATTTTAACTCAGGACTGCCAATTCGTTTCTAGTTTCTACTCGCTTATCGTTCATCGTCGGAGGCACATGTTCCACGTGCCTTAGATTACTGAGCCGTGTAATCATAACAGTTTCATAGGCAGTAATTTGTATTCATGTCTATGATAATAAAATTCTTTTGTTTAAACTTTATCTAATTTAACTTTATTTAACCAATTTCTGGAAAGTTGCATGTAGATCAGTTTTCGAAAAATAAGGCCATAAAGAAGTTTCACTTCTTACGTGTGTGCACTAGTAAACGCACACATTTTTTTTTTAATTTGTTGATGTAGGCATCAGCGCGTTCCATTTTCGAATTTATAGTCAAGGGCTCGATGTTCGATGCGTTTTTTTTTATTGATTTTTCTACTGCAATCATTTTTTTCAGAGACGTTCTTTCGATTTCGACGTGCGACGAGTGTATTCCCGCTACTATTTTTAAATTTAGAAGTGCAATTTTTCAACCTAATTAGAAAAGCAAAACTACTTAGTCTTTTATACTAAACCCATGGTTCCTTATCATTTAAAAAATCTTAAACAGTTTAGTAACCCTAGATATATTTTTAATTTTTAAGCATTTAACTGCTAGATGTATAAATCTAAATAAAAGTTCATGCAACGTGGACCAGGCAGCAAACGGGACTCGAATCCGCACCCTTCGCTATCCGGGTGAATGCACTGACCTGACTGAATGAATTCTAGTAAACTTTTCTTTAGATTTAAACATCTAGCAGTTAAATGCTTAAAAAATAAAAACCTAACTATAATTGCTATTTCTTCTTTCATATGTTCTATACTTGTAAGAGTATTCATTTGTCATTATGGGTTACCTACAATGCGAAGAGATGGTGCTGTCTTGGAGCCTAAGGCTAGGAAAAATTCGATAAGGCTGTCAAGGCCGCGGTAGCATAATCGTCAGTGCATTTGCCCGGATAGCGAAGGATGCGGGTTCGAGTCCCGTCTGCTGCCTGGTCCGCGTGCAATTTTTTCTAGTAAAATTTTCTTTAGATTTAATAATTCTTTAGATTTAGCTGTCGTACTGATCGGCGCGTAGGTAGATTTGCACCAGTATATATTGCATTTTACGGGTGATGTTTCGAGCATTATAAAATAATTATTAATGAACTAATTATAAAAATAGATACATATTTCAGTAGTTCAATGATGGTAAATCAGTTTTATGAAAGTTTTTGATAGTACTTCTATTTAATTCAGTATCAAAATACGTGGTAAACGGCATTAGTTTTTGGGAAAACTCACGGAGGTTAGATGTTTTTTTTGATAATTAATGAGATGGAAAATCAAAATTCTATAAATATTGTATACATATGTTACAAAAAAACATATTTCTGATGCCGTAGTAATTAATTTGATCTAATTTATTGAACATAATTGCGAGATTGATAGACCAGGGTCGATAATTTTTGAGACCAAAAAAAATTATAGTAGGATGAAACCCATTAGAAAAGGTAGAGAATATAACAAAAATGAAAGGAAAAATAAATTACGGGCGATCTGAGGTCGGGAAGGGGGAGGGGGTGAGTTTTTAAGGGTAAAAAATGGTTAATCTCGATTTCCGGTAAAACTGCAAGTCCCATGAAAAAAAGTTAAATGGCAAAGTTGTAGGTAATAAAAAGATCTACAACTTTTGTATCGACACTTTTTTCACATAACCTCAAAATTTATGTGAAAAATGCGAATAACCGAGTTTTTGGTTTTTGATTTTTATTTTTTCCAAAAAAAATATTTTTTCCCCTTCCCGACCTCAGATCGCCCGTAATTTATTTTTCCTTTCATTTTTGTTATATTCTCTACCTTTTCTAATGGGTTTTATCCTACTATAATTTTTTTTCACTTTTCACCATTTTAAAATTATCGACCCTGGTCTATGAGGCGTTTGAAGTTGTGCATATTATCGTTTTTTCCGTAAACTAGCTGCAGTAGAACGATCAGTACAAAAAAAGGGAAAATAGTATTTGAAAATATTCTACATTAACTTACAAAAGGAAGAATAAATCTACTGTTTACTTATATTGGCAATAGTCAAAATCTTTTCTAAGAAGGTAAACGAGGCTCTCTTACATTTTTTGCAAGAAATGTGAAAGGGCTCAAGTTATTAAACACACTTTAAACTAATTAAAAGGTTATTCATTACAAATTGAGTACAAATTTGAATTTGTTTACTTATAATTTATCTTGCTTCCAGCAGAATGCTGAAATGCTTTTTTATATATTTTTTAAATTTGTTGATTTAGGCATCAGCGCGTTTTATTTTCGAATTTTTAGTCTCGTCGAGGGCTCGATGTTCGATGCGGTTTTTTTTATTGTTTTTTCTACTGCAATCATTTTCTGTTATTTTTTTTAAGACGTTCTTTCGATTTCGATGAGCGACGAGTGTATTCCCGCTAATACGATTTTTTCATTAATAATTTTAATTTTACATTTATCTATGAGCTTATTACAGTTTCACATAAAAATATACGATGATCGAGAGCGCTTTGGTGATAGTAAATCAATTTGCAAAGTCTGCGTCATTTAATGTTGCCACTCCAAATAATATGATTATTACCAAATGCAGATTGATGTTGCTGATTCTTTACTTCATTTAACGATTTCTATTTATTTTATGATATCAATGGCATATACGTGCATTTGCGATAACTTTTATCTATTCATTATTAACGGAACCAAAACGTTGCGAGTTAAAATAAATTTACATTCTTCCTTAGCCTCACCTGAACGAATCTTCTTTTAACATTGCATCCGCTTAATATTTCTATGTCTTTCAAAGACAATAAAAAACAAAGATTTTGTCATGTTAGAGTTTCCGAAGCTCAGGACATTAAGCAGCCGATGCATTCCACGTATTTCTTCGGCCCAACCCCGTTCACGGGACGTAAAATCCTACTTTGAATAAATTTATGTAAATATGAAAATACAATGAATTTTGAATTGTCCACAGTGCTGACAGAGGAGCCGCGCTTCGCCGAGCCGATCCCCAATGTGACTGTGGCCCTTGGGAGGGATGCCAGCCTCCCGTGTGTCGTCGAACATCTTGGCACATATAAGGTAAGATATTAGTATGCTGTATTAGGAGCTCGATGGCGCAGGTGGTTAGCGCGTTCGGCTGCGATCGTTGAAGTTAAGCAACTTTCGCAGTGGCCGGTCATTGGATGGGTGACCAAAAATTTCTCGAGCTCCTCCGTGCTTCGGAAGGCACGTTAAGCCGTTGGTCCCTGTTGCATCTGCAGTCGTTAGCACCCACCAATCCGCACTGGGCCAGCGTGGTGGGTCATGGCCCAATCTCCCTATTCCATCCATTGGGAAGGCCTGTGCCCCAGCAGTGGGGACATTAATAGGCTGATGATGATGATGATGATTAGTATGCTTACTTCAATGTGTGAAGTGGGTTAGGCAGGTTATTCGAAACGAAAACTACAATTGCATTGAGATGCAACCGTGTCCTAGAATGGATAGCAGCAAAAAAGACCACGATGTGCTGGAAGGATGACGTGAAGACGGTTGCAGGCTCGAATTGGATACAAAGAACACAATGCCGCAGAATGGAAATCATTGAAGCAAGCCTACACAAAGATTGTTAAAAAACATAGCACTTTAACTAAAAGAAGGCTTATAATAATAATAATAATCATTTATTTCGGATAACAAGGATCCATAGTGTCCTTGATCCAAAACCTTCAAAAAAAGAGCGTACTCCTTCCTTAAAGGCCGGCATCGCATTTGTGATACTCCTGGTGTTGCAAGTGTCCATGGGCGACGGTGATCACTTACCATCAGGTGAGCCGTCTGCTCGTATGCCCCCTATAACATAAAAAAAAAGTGGGTTAGTAGCAAATAGATTATACTTAAAAACTAATGTTAGGAAATAAACACATGTGGTTTGATGTCACCCAACGATGCTCCCGCCTATATGACTGCATGCAGTCGTATCCAGAGACCTAGCATCGGAGAGTCCCTGCGTTCTGCCAGCGCCCTCAGGATGTTGTTGAGGCTGCCTCGCACCCGCCCAAGTAGCGAAGCGCAGCGCTTACGCATGATGGCCGCGAAACCATCTGTATGGGCTTCGGCAAACATGCCGGAGGCTTAAGAGGAAGAAGAATACTTTCTTCTTGCTAGACTTCAAGCGCATATTTCTAATGACGCTTGCGACTCACTTAGGTGTCACGGACAACCCTCTATGCAGAGGATGCATGGAGGCTGAAGAAACAGCTACTCACGTTCTGCTGGAATGCAACGGAGTGCCCGGTATTCGACCGGGCGCAATACCTCGGCTCACCGGGAAACCTCCAAGAGGCAGTCACCAATGTGAAGGCCCTGGGGGCGTTCCTGATGGAGCTGGGCTGGCTGGAGTGATTCCGGCTATACACCCTCCTAACGCAAAACAGGCGCCATAAGGACGTCGAGTTGCGGAAACGCCCGTTAAAAGAACAAGAAGAGAACAGTCTCCCCCACGAGTGTATTATCAGCAGCAAAAGTTGCTGTCAGTAAACTAGTTGACGTGTGACTGGTGTCTGTGGTCGACAACAGCAATGGAGCACGTCGCGGGGAAAACATCCCGAAAAGACGGTGCGACTGTTAGAGTCTGTGCGGAAAGAGAATGGGCGTGGCGAAAAACGGAACTAACATTAAGATTTTTATTTGGCAATCAAACCCAGCAATCTGTAAAACGTCAAAGTTTTGTATTGCTACGGAGTTGTTTGTTGTTGTGATTTCTTGCGGTTCTTGTGTATTTAATCATGTCTAAAAGGGGTAAAACCTTACAACAACGGTAGAAAAGCACTACAGCGCCCTCCAATGTAAATCCCATTATCTTTCTGCATAGACTCTACTTGAGAGTCAATAACTATTAGCTCAAATACATGTTTATCTTTATATATAAAACTCAAAGGTGACTGACTGACATAGTGATCTATCAACGCACAGCCCAAACCACTGGACGGATCGGGCTGAAATTTGGCATGCAGGTAGATGTTATGACGGAGGCATCCGTTAACAAAGGATTTTGATCAATTCTACCTCTAAAAGGATAAAATAGGGAATTAAAGTTTGTATGAAACTTTGCCAATTTTAAACCGATCGGGCTGAGACTTTGCATGCAGGTATAAGAAGAATCATAGATGAATGACATTGTGTATAATACAAGCCTGAGAACAAGAACTGTAGTCTGCACTTCAGCTCCATACCGAAGCGCATCCAGCGGCTTTCCAGGAACCAATACCGTGGTTCACCTGGTGAGGGGCTGACCGACTGGTCTTCGCAGCTAGTCTCCACTCACACATATAGTTAGGTACGGCAGGATAATTTGTTGTGCCATGTCATATTTACATGTCACGTCATCCATGAATCAGACATTTTATGAAATTTATCGTGTCGAACAGTTGATACTTTCATCATCATCAGCCTATTATTGCCCCCCCCCCTGTTGGGGCACAGGTCTTCCCTATGGATGGAATAGGGAGATGGGCCATGACCCACAACGCGGATTGGTGGGTGGGTGACGGCTTAACGTACATTCCGAAACTCGGAGGAACTCGATATAGAAGATTTTTGCTCACCCATCCAATGACATATATATTGTCGTAGGTATTTATCGTGTCGCATAGTTGATACTTTCATCATCATCAGCCTATTAATGCCCCCACTCCTGGGGCACAGGCCTTCCCTATGGATGGAATAGGGAGATGGGCCATGACCCACCACGTGGGCCCAGTGCGGATTGGTGGGTGGTAACGGCTTAACGTACCTTCCGAAACACGGAGGAACTCTAAATAGAAGATTTTTGGTCACCCATCCAATGACCGACCACTGCGAAAGTTGCTTCGAGCTGCGCCATCGAGCTCTTCCAATTTATACTTTATCATTCAGTAATAAGGTAAAGTTTTAAATACTACCTGTTAGCATAGCACACTGATTGATATACCTTAACAAATATTAACTTCATATTATTATATGAAACACTAGTTAAAATATATATTTTAGTTACTAAAACTGAACCAGATAAATTATACTCTCCAATAACTCCACACTTAATGTCCCCAAAGGGTTGAACCCTCTTCAAATCAAGCTATTTTGAGATAAAATAGGTATAATCCATTAATATTATTTCAGTTAACAAATTTTTAATGTACTGAAAATCAGTGAGTGTACTGTACTCATCAAATGTTAAACTAAGATAAATTATTAATTTGGAACGTCATTATATTGAATTGACATTGTTCTATGATTTGAGATTTAGTGAAATTTTGGTATTAAGATAATAATTTAAATTATGATGGAGTTTGGTTTGATTCAAATGTCATATAAAGACTTTTACACATTTTTTATTGTATTTCTGAGTGAGGCATTGTCCTAATACAACGCATATCAATTCTACTTATTGATATTATAAAAGTGAAAATTTGTATGTTTGGATGTGTGTCGACGAGATGTCAATGAAAGAACATCGCTCGTTCCCCATACATTGAATGCCCCAGAACGCACAGCAATAGGAAAATACTTGTTGTTTTCGGAATCATTCATAAATTCTCATCAGGTATTTGTTGATATACGGACAACTTGAGAAACTGTGGCCTACTACAGAATGTATTACATGGGGGGCACCCCAGTACCAGTTTCTCCCTTTGGATCGCATCCAGCGCCGAGCGGCTCGAATCGTCGACGACCAGGACCTTTCCGATCAGCTTAATCCTTTGGTTTTGCGTAGGGATGTAGCTTCGCTCTGCATCTTCTATCGCATTTATCACGGGGAGTGTTCTGAGGAATTGTTCGGATTAATTCCAGCTGCTGCATTTCGCCTAGACATCGCGACAAAAATTTCATCCCCATCATCTTGATGCGAGGGTATCCACAACCGTGCGTTATTGTCGAATTTGTTTACCACGTAAGACAAAAATGTGGAATATATTGTCGCCAGCAGTGTTTCCGGACCAATACGACCCAAAAACCTTCAAAAAAATGCGTACTCCCTCCTTAGAGGCGGGCATCGCATTTGTGATGCTCCTGGTGTTGCAAGTGTCCATGGGCGACGGTGATCACTTACTATCAGGTGAGCCGTCTGCTCGAATGCCCATATTCATACACATATTCAAGGCTCTGTTTCGACTTCAAGGCTACTGTAGTGCATCTGGGATGTTTGCGGACGCAAGCACTGACGACTTTTATGCTATGCGTAAAAAAGTCGCGTCACTGGTGCATCGGCTGCGAGGAGGTTGTAACGGATTCCTGAGTATGTTAGGAAGTAGAATGCCCTCCCCTCTACTCGGTCAGTTCATCAAAGTACATGTCTGGTGACCAGGCCGAGGGGACGGTGCAGTAAAATTTATAAATTTAAATTATTTAAATTTAAATTATTTATTATAACTATTTATTTAATTTAATGATGATTTGACAACGTAATGAAGCTACAGCATAGGTTAAGAAAATTGTTACAAACATATATGAGACCAAGTCTTGAAAAAAAAAGCATTTTTTTTATACTTAATCGTAAATGATGTAGTACACTTTATATGTTTTGAATAGATTTATTGTTTACCTCTATATAGACACTTAAATAATGGGAATTAAACGAACATAAAACGCGATTAATAATAAAAGTAATTAATGCTCATATTCATATTGATTTGTGAGGGTTGGCTGTTGGCACATATGATACCTATACTAATCCTTAAAGAAACCTTAGTCTTCTATATTGCCTCAAATTTAAAAGAGATAATGCAAGCCAGGTAAGCTAGAAAGGTACGTCGTTATGTATAGCACATAACCTTTCTAACTGTACTCAAGTTAAGATCAACACTTAGTTATCATTCTGTAATACGAGCCTAAATCATCGTGGTTTCATAAAGCTACACCATTTTTTTCCCGACAACGTCTACAGAGTATTTCAAACTCAAAGACATTTATTCAGTCTAGGCTGATACAAGCTCTTGTGAAAGTCAAACGCTACGCCATCGGTTCGTAAATCTACGGCGGGAGACCTTGTACCGAAAAGAACCGGCAAGAAACTCAGCAAGGGCAATTTTTTTCTCCCTGTTTTGTTTCATACAGTGTCG